TATTACACCATTTGATGTGGCCATTACTATTATTTTTCCCTAACAAAAGAGGAAACTGGGCTATGGTCAGAGTAGGAAGCAGGGTCTGTCACAAAGTCAGTAACTTAGATGGTCCTGCGGAGCTTGTGTTTCTATCTCCTTATAGAAATACCTTGTTGTAATGTAGTTGGACTGATCACCATCATTTTACCACAGAGGGAACTGCAAGTAACTTGCTCAAGGCCATACTGTTAGGAAATGGTAAAGAGCTTGATGGGTACATCTCTCCGCAAACCCTTATGGGTTTTTGCTCCCCAAACCAATTGCCTTTCTAGACAGCTTTGTTTATATATGTTCTTTGATAATTTGCACATAAGGTTTAAGCTCTTTAAGAAATTATAGAGCAGGAAAAATGGGGGTTCCTGCTACTATAAATGAAGAACCAGAATTACGCAAGGTTGAGTCCTAAAATGGGTCAGCAAGTCATTCCCATCTGAATTAGCTGAAAAGATCCTCCCTGAAGTGGGTTTGACCCGGCAGAGCCATTAGAACATTTCTTTTGGATTACTTACTTTTCTTTATACGGTTCTGTATTTTCTACATTTTCTACAGTGAGCAAGTGTTACCTTCTAATGTAAATGTTCACAGATAATACTGGATACATTCTCGTGTTAAACATTCAAACGCACCAAGCTCTTCCTTTAAACTCTTATCTTCCTCTCCCTCCTTCCAGTCTCCTTTCCAGAGGCAGCCGAAGTGAGAAGTTTGTATGAATTCCTCCAGACCTGCACTGTCTTCTAAGGACATCACCATCCACATGAGGCTACTGAGCGCTTGGAACGTGCTTGTAAGCATAAAATACACACTAGATTTGAATATCCAGTATGAAAAAAGAGTGTAAAATATCTCATATAATTTGTTTATTGATTACATTTTGAAATGATAATATTTTGGATATACTGGGTTAAATAATATATAATTTAATTTCATCTGTTTCTTTTTACCTTTTTACATATAGGTGGCACATGTTATATTTCTATTTTTGGACAGCACTGCTTGAGAGTCTAGACCATTTTTAGTACATCTGTACACTTATATGTACATACAGAAATATGTAGTTCTTTTGGTGTCTCCTAACATAAATATGCATTATCTATACATAATTAAAACTTTATACCAGAATTAAAACTTTTTTTCTTAAAAAAGGAAGCATAATCTTTAAATGCTTTAGGCATTAAATTAATTCCTAAAAAAAAAAAAATTAATTCCTTTCTTCCTCCCTTTCTCTTCCTCTTCCTCTCCCCGCCCACGCCCCCCCATAGTTCTTGACAACCTACAAAGCCTCAGAATGAAGAAAGCATTAATTATTCTTCGCCATACAGATGCTGAAGTGAGCGTACCTAACATTATTTTGGATTAATTCAACACAGGTACAGATTAACAGAAGGGTATCACTTGTTGGATAAAAGGACGTGCTAGTCAATAGACGAAGGCTTTGGAGTTAATGAGTCCTCGACAAAAGACAGAGAAAACAGCTGCACTTGCCCCAGATGACTGGTAGGTATTTTTAAATGTCTAGATCTGAAATTTGCTATTCTTTTTTTCTTTTTTAAACATCTTTATTGGAGTATAATTGCTTTACAATGGTGTGTTAGTTTCTGCTTTATAACAAAGTGAATCAGCTATACATATACATATATCCCCATATCTCCTCCCTCTTGCATCTCCCTCCCACCCTCCCTATCCCACCCCTCTAGGTGGTCACAAAGCTGATCTCCCTGTGCTATGCAGCTGCTTCCCACTAGCTATCTATTTTACGTTTGGTAGTGTATATATGTCCATGCCACTCTCTCACTTTGTCCCAGCTTACCCTTCCCCCTCCCCATGTCCTCAAGTCCATTCTCTGTGTCTGTGTCTTTATTCATGCCCTGCCCCTAGGTTCTTCAGAACTTTTTTTTTTTTTTTTTAGATTCCATATATATGTGTTAGCATACGGTATTTGTTTTTCTCTTTCTGACTTACTTCACTCTGTATGGCAGTCTCTAGGTCCATCCACCTCACTACAAATAACTCAATTTCATTTCTTTTTATGGCTGAGTAATATTCCACTGTATATATGTGCCACATCTTCTTTATCCATTCATTTGCTGATGGACACTTAGGTTGCTTCCGTGTCCTGGCTATTGTAAACAGAGCTGCAATGAACATTGTGGCACATGACTCTTTTTGAATTATTTTTCAGGGTATTTTCAGGGTATACGCTCAGTAATGGGATTGCTGGGTCATATGGTAGTTCTAATTTTAGTTTTTTGAGGAACCTCCATACTGTTCTCCATAGTGGCTGCATCAATTTACATTCCCACCAACAGTGTAAAAGGGTTCCTTTTTCTCCACACCCTCTCCGGCATTTATTGTTTGTAGATTTTTTGATGATGGCCATTCTGACTGGTGTGAGGTGATACCTCACTGTAGTTTTGATTTGCAGTTCTCTAATGATTAGTGATGTTGAGCATCCTTTCATGTGTTTGTTGGCAATCTGTATATCTTCTTTGGAGAAATGTCTATTTAGTTCTGCCCATTTTTGGATTGGACTGTTTGTATTTTTGATATTGAGCTGCATGAGCTTCTTGTATATTTTGGAGATTAATCCTTTGTCAGTTTGAAATTTGCTATTCTTATCATGTCATTCCTTTCACTCAGATTTTTTTGTAATAGGCATAGTCCCATGACCTTATGTTGGGTGACTGACTATGCACTAACTACTTTTCAATTTGATCAATATCGGCACCTTTGACCAATAAAGTGCCACCTCTGATCAGCTACTGAATCCTGATATTTGCTGGAAACAAAATGCTGACATGTGTGACCTATGTGATCTCTGTTTTACCAAGTTCTGACTAGTTGAAGTAATATGACAAATATTTTATAGGGTACCTAATAGATTTTATTTTGTCTAAGTAAATACCTGACAATGAATCCAGTTCAGTGGATTCTGCAAAAGAAATGACCTCAAACAAGTTCCCCATCCTCCCCCACTTAGAAAAATGGCTGTATATACATAAACTATTTACACAGACCACACTCGTGTCAATGAACTATCGAAGCATGTGCACATGTAGCATTCTTGTGTTGGGCTGGAAGGGTGTTTACCATGTTCCAGCAAGGCCTCGGCATGTGCAAAACATTAGCAGCTCTTACATGGCCTCAGTGTAGAACCTCCCTGAGGGCAGAGGAGAAAAAAGAATATTAGGCATGGAGCAGGGGTGCTGTGATATTTCATTATTTTCATTCCTGTGAGTGCTTCTTGGTGCTCTGTCCCATTTGTGTTCCTCTGCTTGCATGCTGTCTTGATAAAGGACTGCAGTTTGAAGGCCTGTGTATTTTTTTTTCTTTTTTGTGGTACGCGGGCCTCTCACTGTTGTGGCCTCTCCCGTTGCGGAGCACAGGCTCCGGACGCGCAGGCTCAGCGGCCATGGCTCACGGGCCCAGCCGCTCCGCAGCATGTGGGATCTTCCCGGACCGGGGCACGAACCCGTGTCCCCTGCATCGGCAGGCGGACTCTCAACCACTGCGCCACCAGGCCTGTGTATTCTTTTGCTTACTCCTTGCTGCCCTGAGACAAGCTTCCCAATGGGTAAAAATGGGACACTGAATGGGGAGCCCCAAGTTTTCTTCTAGCTGGTAATTCTCCCAGCCAAATTTTCCTTGAGCAGATTCCATGGGGGCTGTCTTTAATGCTCCATATTGACAGGACATTTAAATGTGTTTCTTTTTATTTCTTCCTGGTCCTTGTCATCTTTTCCCATCATTCAAGGAATAACAGAGAAAAAGCAAAATAGAAACAGAGACTAGGGCAATACAGGAATTTTCAACCTTTTCTGAAGTGCTATATATCTCTGCAATTAAGACAATCTTTTGAAACTTAAAACAAAAAAATCTTCCTTAATTAGGATTGACATCCTCTGAGTAGATACCATCTGCTGTAGCAGCCCAACCCTGTCCTCCACAGCTCTTGGCAGTTACAGGTGAGTAGGGGCCCCCTCTCCGTTCCCACACCCCTGCTCAAGAAGCTGCCAGGGAGCTCTCAGGCAGTAGCAGCAGGCAGGAAGTGGGGTGGGAGTAAGGGGGGGTCTCCACCCATTAGCAGATGCTTAAGTAGTAGGCAGGGGAACTTGTTTATGGAGAAATTCAGGTCAGCAGATACTCCAAACCAATTTATACCATGTGCTACCCAGTTGTCGAAGTAAATTCAAATGCTAAGAAAGGACCTGGACTGCCAATCCCCTTATTTTTTCCCTACCTTGGGCTTGGCACCCAAAAGAATAAAACAAGAACAGTTGGACTTTGTGGTTTAAAGGGAATTATTGGGCAACTTCAAGGAAGTGAAGGCAGCACAGACCAAGGCAAGCTGTCTTCATGGAACATCATGTACCAGTGACTAAATGTCAAGACCCATCATTTCCAAGTGGTGACGTCTCCACAGGTTTAGTAGTATGCTCATTCAGATTTAACCAAAAGACAAGCTTGACAGATTATCAGAATCTTTGGAGGAGGGCAGTGTGTGGAGTCAGGAAAAGTGTGAGGTAATTTTACAAATGACTTCATAATTTTTTTTTAAAAGCACAGCAATATTATCATCCTAGTGGTTTTTGCTATAGTCTATTCTAGTAAAATGTGAAATAGAAGTTCTGCCAAAAGTACAGAAAACATTTCCAAACAAGTCATTATAGATTACATTACAACTCTAAAATAAAAATGTCTAAACATGTGTTTGTCCATTAGACTTTTTTTAAATTAATTTTTATTGGAGTATGGTTGCTTTACGGTGTCCATCAGACTTTAGTGCATTTTTGTTAACGCTTTCCTTGTGGAAGAAATTTGACTTTTTCTTATGCTACTTTCTTAACAATAAGTTACTATGGCTTTAACAAGTGGCTATGGGCTGGGTTCATAATTTGACGTTATATTCTGAAAAATAATTTTTACATTCCATCAACAACAGGAAAACATTAAATGATTACCTCTGTAAATTTGTTCCGATTGGCTTGCAAGCCAACTTTTACTACCTCAAAAGGGTTGACCACAATGGCTTCTGTTAGTCCAGATCCCAATCCAGCAATGGCAAAGGTCTAGAAAAATTAAGTCAATCAATACTTTAAAACGAGTCATCATGTGTATGGGGTTAAACATCCTACTCATTACACTATGCAGCTGAATGTTATAATGAGAATGGAGAAACTCACATAAATGCACCATATACCATTACTAAACAGCTTTAGATCTTGATTAGATGCTGACAATTCATGAAGAAGAAATTACAGAAGCCACAAACCACATCCTAACAATTCAAAATAAAATGTCAAAGCCCCATCAACAATGACTTTGTCCTTTAATGAAAAGAAAGGTTGTTTTACTTATTTAAGGTGGATACTAAAACATCTGCACATGTAACAACTAAAAGAGAGTTTGACTCAAAAAAGGAGAGCTTCAGTTTTAAACATCTACTTAAATACATTTATTGAGCATATAAGAAATTCAAGGAGAACCACAAATAAAATGCTTATAAAAAGCTAAATTTCAGGTAACCAAACAGTATAGCCAAAAATATTTAAATGTATAGCCATATTCTTAGAGTCATTATTCTAGGAAATTAAGAAACAAAAAAAAACAGTTTAAAATTAATCCTTTATCTGTCTTTTAAAACTGATAATTGCCCTATCCTTCTAGACTTAGAAGCTGAGGAATAAAAGTTGAGGTCAGAGATAAATAGGTTGTCTTGAAGGGCTCAGATAAAATCTAGAATATTTATCAAAAGGTGGCTGTGGGGCTTCCCTGGTGGCACAGTGGTTGAGAGTCCGCCTGCTGATGAGGGGTACACGGGTTCGTGCCCTGGTCCGGGAGGATCCCACATGCCGCGGAGCGGCTGGACCCGTGAGCCATGGCCGCTGAGCCTGCGTGTCCGGAGCCTGTGCTCTGCAACGGGAGAGGCCACAGCAGTGAGAGGCCCACGTACCGCAAAAAAAAAAAAAAAAAAAAAAAAAAAAGGTGGCTGTGTATCAGGTTCTTATTTGTTATCTGTTAAGAATTTCTGCAGTAGAAATGAAGAACTTTCTAGAATTTTCCAGAGTAGAATGCTTAAAGGATTTTCAGAAACTTTGTATCAAAAATAACCACAACTATTAAAACACACACACACACAAACACACACAGCAGGAAAACAAAATGAAACAAAGCCTCAAACCTTCAAAACAGATGCTGAAAAAAATAATTCTTTGGTGCTGAAGCTCTAATTCCAGGGGAAGAGGTAATACTGTATACAACTAGGAGAAAAAAATAAGTCAATGAAGAGTAAAGAAGAGAAGCTCTTATTCTGAGTCTAATTTCTTCAAAGTAGGAGACTAAAAGAGAAAAGGGAGAAAGGAATGTTCTATAACCTTAGAAGGGGAGGCAAGGTGGAACCAGGGCAGGATCCAGAGCCAGGAGGTCTGGGTTTAGGTTCTGGTTTTGCCACTTTATTGGCTGTGTGACCAGAGATGCCATGTACAGTAGTTTGGGCACAAAGTTACATGTGGAGGTTGAAATCAGCCTGCACCCTACTTGCCAAGCCAGAAAGGCATCAGTTAGGAGAAAGGGGCACCTTTTCATAATCCACACAAAAACGCCGTGTGTGTTAGCTGCAGCTCTGTGTTTAAATCACTGAGTCTTTTAAAGAAGATGTGGTACATATATTCAATAGAATATTACTCAGACATTAAAAAGAATGAAATAATGTCATTTGCAGCAACATGGATGGACATGGAGATTATCATACTAAGTGAAGTAAGTCAGACAGAGAAAGACAAATATCACATGATATCACTTACACAAAGAATCTTAAAAAAATGATACAAATGAACTTATTTACAAAACAGACTCACAGACTTAGAGAACGAATTTATGGTTATGGTGGGGGGGAAGGTTAGGGGAGGGGGATAGATTGGGACTTTGGGATTGACATGTACACACCGCTATATTTAAAATAAAATGCCTTTCCATGAAAAAAAAATCACTGAATCTTTTATAAGCCACTGTTTCCTCATCTGTAAAATAGAGACAACAATATCTAATCTTTGATTTAATAAGGTTATTATGAGGGTCAAAATAATGTGTGAAGGCCTTTTGTAAAGTGCTACAAAACCATTGTTACTGTTGCACGACGAGGAAGAATGGGATTGTATACAGATTCTAGGAGAGAGGGAATAACTAATGATGTTTTCCTTTCATGCCCCTTTATTACAATTTTAAACATATTTGTACAGGCTAACAGACAAAATATTTTATTCATTTACCTCAGACTTCCATCATGGAATCCAAAGGCAGAAAAAAAAAAATACTAGTCCCAAACTCTTCTGACTGAAAAAGCTAAAATCCAGATGTTCAAGTTTTTATTACTATACGCAATCTTCCAAGTAATTCACTTTTTGTTCTTCTATAAAACACAGCTACATTTGCTGTCAGAACTAGCGTTCAGCAGTCCCTCGTCAAAAGAACTGATCAGCTATCAGCAGATCATGTTACTCAGATTGTTCCAGAGACCAGAGGTAACTGTTGGGTTCCCAGCCTCCCAGGCTTTTCATGTAAGAGCACCAGGGGACATTTAATGGCTGTTGAAGTGTCTAGCTGTATCAAAAAGAAACCGTAATAAATGAGTTCAAGAAAAGTGAAAAACTGTATACAGTTTGCACGAATTCGGTGACAGGAGCTGAAGTTGCCAAATGCTTTTCTGTTTGAATTCTCAAGACAGAAGTGCAATCTCTCACATGGTACCAATGCTTGACACAGGATCAGCCACGGCCCTCTGGAAACTGTATGTTACTGTCCTTTGCTAGGGAGATTTTTTTTTTTTTTTAGAATTGGCTTCTTCTTTTTTTTAAAATTTATTTGTTTTATTTATTTATTTTTGGCTGCGTTGGGTCTCCGGTGCTACTCACGGGCTTTCTCTAGTTGCAGAGAGGGGCTACTCTTCATTGCGGTGCACGGGCTTCTCATTGTGGTGGCTTCTCTTGTTTCAGAGCATGGGCTCTAGGCGCGCGGGCTTCAGTAGTTGTGGTTCACAGGCTCTAGAGCACAGGCCCAGTAGTTATGGTGCACGTGCTTAGTTGCTCCGCAGCATGTGGGATCTTCCCGGACCAGGGCTTGAACCCGTGTCCCCTGCATTGGCAGGCAGATTCTTAACCACTGCGCCACCGGGGAAGCCCTGCTAGGAAGTTTTTAATCCTCTTTTTAACAAGATGTTTTCAAAGTAAAGGAAGACAGTCAGAGAAGACACTGAGGAATTAAAAAAAATCTCAGCTAATTTCAGTACTCATGCTACCACTTCTCCTTCCATGAGAGGCCGCTTCACAGCCCCCTTGTTTAAGCAGGAGGCTGGACCACAGGTTTCTTTGTCACAAAACAAAGTGACACTATTAGGTTTCTTAATTGGATCCTTCCTAGAAAGGGAGTATGTATGATTTTTTAAATAACAGCTACTTCTTAATGAATCTTTAGCAATAAAGTAATGAAAGAGTTGAAGCTCAGAACTCTGCCCCTCTGGCTGAGTTCTAAGGTGCATTCCAGCAGATAAACTGGGGGATTTTCCTGGACGTTGGAAGGCACATTGCCAATTGGAGGGCCAATGCAGATTTAGTTTAGTCTAGTTTTGTTTTGCTTTGCAGGTTTGGGGGAGAAATTAGTGCACTGGCTCTCTCTGGGGCTCTCGCTGAATGCATATTGATAGAACCTATTTGGTCAATATTATTTAACTTGTTTTGTGAACAGCAGCAAAATCACAAAGAAGGAAAGGAGTGGCATCGGCAAATGTTCAAATCACCAAATGGCTTTCATGTAATAGTTGAGATGTGTCATTGTAATATCACTGTTCTCCCCAACTATAAAAGGCCCCTCAGCCTGCATCTGACCACAGAGTGACCTGAAGTCCTATAGTTAACACAGCTTGAGCAAAAGCTGCAAAAGTGACCTGTTAGGAAATAATTTTAGGTACAGTGACTTTCACATATATAGATATGTGCAGTATGTATGTAAACATACACATGTTTTGGCTTCAAAAGAGTCTTTGACAAATGTACTCTTTATATTCTTGACCATATCTCATATGGGCCTTTCCACACATATCATTATTATCATAAATTCATCACTGGGAGCTATAAAATGGCCAAATTGTGAGTTATTAGGAAGATGGCTTTCAACAAGTAGCTGGACATTGAATAACATTTTTTTTTTTTTTTAGAATTGGCTTCTTCTTTTTTTTAAAATTTATTTGTTTTATTTATTTATTTTTGGCTGCGTTGGGTCTCCGGTGCTACTCACGGGCTTTCTCTAGTTGCAGAGAGGGGCTACTCTTCATTGCGGTGCACGGGCTTCTCATTGTGGTGGCTTCTCTTGTTTCAGAGCATGGGCTCTAGGCGCGCGGGCTTCAGTAGTTGTGGTTCACAGGCTCTAGAGCACAGGCCCAGTAGTTATGGTGCACGTGCTTAGTTGCTCCGCAGCATGTGGGATCTTCCCGGACCAGGGCTTGAACCCGTGTCCCCTGCATTGGCAGGCAGATTCTTAACCACTGCGCCACCGGGGAAGCCCTGCTAGGAAGTTTTTAATCCTCTTTTTAACAAGATGTTTTCAAAGTAAAGGGAGACAGTCAGAGAAGACACTGAGGAATTAAAAAAAATCTCAGCTAATTTCAGTACTCATGCTACCACTTCTCCTTCCATGAGAGGCCGCTTCACAGCCCCCTTGTTTAAGCAGGAGGCTGGACCACAGGTTTCTTTGTCACAAAACAAAGTGACACTATTAGGTTTCTTAATTGGATCCTTCCTAGAAAGGGAGTATGTATGATTTTTTAAATAACAGCTACTTCTTAATGAATCTTTAGCAATAAAGTAATGAAAGAGTTGAAGCTCAGAACTCTGCCCCTCTGGCTGAGTTCTAAGGTGCATTCCAGCAGATAAACTGGGGGATTTTCCTGGACGTTGGAAGGCACATTGCCAATTGGAGGGCCAATGCAGATTTAGTTTAGTCTAGTTTTGTTTTGCTTTGCAGGTTTGGGGGAGAAATTAGTGCACTGGCTCTCTCTGGGGCTCTCGCTGAATGCATATTGATAGAACCTATTTGGTCAATATTATTTAACTTGTTTTGTGAACAGCAGCAAAATCACAAAGAAGGAAAGGAGTGGCATCGGCAAATGTTCAAATCACCAAATGGCTTTCATGTAATAGTTGAGATGTGTCATTGTAATATCACTGTTCTCCCCAACTATAAAAGGCCCCTCAGCCTGCATCTGACCACAGAGTGACCTGAAGTCCTATAGTTAACACAGCTTGAGCAAAAGCTGCAAAAGTGACCTGTTAGGAAATAATTTTAGGTACAGTGACTTTCACATATATAGATATGTGCAGTATGTATGTAAACATACACATGTTTTGGCTTCAAAAGAGTCTTTGACAAATGTACTCTTTATATTCTTGACCATATCTCATATGGGCCTTTCCACACATATCATTATTATCATAAATTCATCACTGGGAGCTATAAAATGGCCAAATTGTGAGTTATTAGGAAGATGGCTTTCAACAAGTAGCTGGACATTGAATAACTCGAATTCATATTTTAGTAGCTGAGCTTGGGGAATCAAAAGGGTTTTTGTTTCCAGATTTTGCTGTATGAAATAACACACACACTTAAGTATAATAAATACTCTCACTTACCAATGCTGGTGACAGTGACACATATCCTAGCAATTTCTTGTACTGCTCAAAGGTGAAAAACTGTGAAACAAAACCAAACCCAGAGATTTATAACAATTTCCTGCAACAAACCTTTTAATTGACTCAAATTTCTTTAGTAAATCATTATATTCACCAGCATTCTAAAAAATGATAAACCATCAAACACAGTTTTTAATCCAGTCTTGGGTAGTTGCTATTGAATCTTACTTGAACATTCACATTTTCAAATGCAGCTATAATAAACTACAGAAGAGCTGATGGAATCTTTTATAGCAGTAAATGAACCATACAGCTTCCATTTACCATGACCATTTTCAGTTTCCCCAGACATCAATAGACTCCTTTTTTATGGCAGTGATTCAAAATTATAGGCATAGAGACCTGAAATCTTTGGTCTCCTATGTTTTCTCTATGGCCTGCTTTCCCAGTGAATGCCCAATTTTCTAACCCATTTGTAAAAGACATCCACTTCTCAGCTTTAACTCGCATTTATACTGCTGTGTATCTCTACTGTTCCATGGGATTTCTAAACACTCAATGATGACGAAGATGCCATGATAAACTAGGGAAGGACCCAACAAGGACATCTAGTCCATCCCCTGCCTGAAAGTAAGACTGTCCTCAACCTCAGTGAAGAAAGAGAGCTGCTTATTCCTTCCTTAAAAATCTGACGATGATGAAGATTTTGTTGGTTCCTTCAGTAGATGATGTTTAATATAATTTTCTCTGTAAGTGGATTTCAATGGAGGCAAATCTAATCAATCACTTTGTATAATATGTTCCAAATAAAGTTTTCTCCTCTCTTTTTATATTATACATTTTGGACAACGATCTGCTTGAACATGATGGTTTGCTCCTGGGGTACTCTGTTAGGTAGCTGCCAACATCACTGATAAAACACACACTTAGGTCCTGCTGGGGTCTGATTCTCAAGACCTCAGAAATGGCCTGGGTATTTTATGGTCATAATATGTCTTCTACTCTATTACTTTATAACCCAGTACTATGGGGCAAGAAATAAATATAGATTTGAGAGCCAAATAATATTCTGTTGTTAGAAGGAGGTAGTTCCATGTAAACATGGCTCTCATGTGTCTTTGGGCAGTTCCAGAGTCATTGCATCACCAGATAGATGGATACTCTTAAAGACTCAGCAACTATTTTTGTGCTATGTTCCTTTAAACCAACTATGGATGTAGATTTCTGTAGAACAGGAATTCATTCATTCACTCATTCAACAAATATTTCTTGGTTCTACGCACTGGGGATGCAGCAGTAAACAAAGAGAAACCCCTGTCTTCTTGGTCTAACATTCCAGTGGATGGTGATAACCCTGAAACTATCCTAGTGTTCAAATAATACCACCAGGAGCCACAACAGGTTTGATGAGAGATGCACTAGAAACAATTAAAAGGAAAAGGGTTACGATCTTGGGTTTAAAAAATAATTTATTTTTTCTTCCTTTTCATGGTCATTATCGTAACTATTCTTTGATAATCACCCTGTGTGGATTTTGACATAAGCAGTCCTAGGTTTGAATCCTGAATTAGCTATGGAGGCATAGCTTGACCTTTCTAACCCTGAAGAACACAAAACTTCTAGAGTAGTCCTTAAATAAGAGAACTTGAGTAAGATTTCTTGACATTCCTAGCACATAGGAGACTTTCAGAAAATCTTAGTTTCCATTTCCTTTCTGCACTTTGGATACTAAAGGAACCATCGATCCCTTATGTACATGTATCATTCATGAGAGCTTGCTGTGGTCTAGGAAACATGCTAAGGCCTTTGGATGTGCTACTGCATTTAATCCATACAACATCACCAGGTAACAGGTTAGAGTACAACCATGATTCCCACTTGCAGATACCTGTCATGCAGCTAGTGAATGGAAGGATTGAGATTTCTCCCTAAGTCTAACTCCAAAGCCTGGGTATGCTCTTAACCACACACTACACTGTACTGCTCACTGCTGAGCCATGATTTTTAGTGGTTTGGGAAGAGGTTCTCTGTGATAGAGTTTTCTTTCTGCTGAGGTCTTCTTGCCTTCCCTGACCTCAGAAGCTGAGTCCCTTAAGGCAGAAGATTTCAAACTTTTCTGACCACAATCTACTATTTACCATATTTACCATAATCTATTTACCCAGCACAGGTGCACAGGCACGTGTAGTACACACTCATATTTATAACTGAAACAAAACATTGCTGTAAAACAATGTTTAGCTCTTCACTATGTGTAATGCATTCTGTTTCTACTCTATTTCAACAAAAAATTTTCTGGTGAACCACTACATCTAGTGACCCATCAAATTGATTTCAGGACTCACAGGTCATGACACATACTTTGGAAACACTGCTTTAAGGGGTCTATGTGGGTTCGGGAAAGTTCTGGGAGAGGATGGACCTCACAGAATGCCTCACTACCTTGTTCCCTTCCAGTGTGAGGATGCATTTTTTTTTCCTTCTGACTTTCTGTCATGACAAAGAATTAAGGAACAAACTGAGATCTCAAAGGAGAAGTGTGGGGACATAGACTTGACCTGTCACTCTAAGCAATTCTCACAGGCAATTCCAAGTCTACACTTTGGGGCAATTCTAGGCTTTTCACTTCCCCATCTCTAAAACTGTTTTAGAAAAACTACCACCAGCTGGCTGGTACTCATCAGCAGTCTGGATGGAAGATTCTGGTGAATGGCTAGGATGAAGTGATTCAGGTTCCTGGGAATAAAGAAGCCTCACAGATCAGAGATAAGTTGCTAATGTATTAAATTCAAAAGTAATGAACAGGGACTCCCCTGGTGGCACAGTGGATAAGACTCTGCGCTCCCAATGCAGGGGGCCTGGGTTCGATCCCTGGTCCGGGAGCTAGATCCCACACGCGTGCTACAACTAGGAGTTCGCATGCCACAACTGAGGAGCCCGTGAGGTGCAACTAAGGAGCCCACCTGCTGCAACTAACACCCAGCGCAACCAAATAAATAAATACTAAAGTAGTGAACAATATATATTACATATTCTAATAAGCAAATAGTGCTTCAAACTAAAAATAAAAAATCTTGTTTTAATTTCTACCTTTGCAACCGAAGTCTAATTTACTGAATATAAAATAAAATATTATCTCAAGAAAGGAAATATTAAAATCTTTTAAAATGGATTTTCAATAATAGCAAATAACATAATGTCATTATAGTTTGAAACCAATATTAAATAAAAATATTCATTCATTCAACAAATATTTACTGGATGCCTCCCATGTGCAAAGCTTAGAAGACATTATACTACAACTATATTCTTAAGAAATAGTAGATTAGCTGTTACTTTAATTCCTTTCTATACAGCACTACTCTTTTACTTCCTTCATGATATTTCTTAATATTTCTCATTCACAACACTAGTTAGTGCAGAGATGTGATAAAGGTACCCTATCACATAAGACATGAGGTTACACTCTAAGGATGAAATTAGGAGGGTCAACATGTAATAATGTTACCTACCCAGAGTCATGCAAATGTGTGACTAAAGAGTTTTGAAAACGTTCGTAGTCAGTCAAGGCTTTGGGAACCTTGAATATAAAATCTTGAATCCAAATTAATATGTTATATATAACCTATAAAGTGGAACCTTGAAATTGGTAGTCTGGTTGGATTTATCCCAGGAAAGGGGCTGGACCTCGGGGACAGGCCGTGTGGTCCCTGGAGAAGTGTCAAGTTGTGCTTCGGCAGGGGAAGTGGGTACAGTTTGCCTGGGCAACCCAGCCCTCCAGACGGCACTTTCCCCTTTGCTTTCATCCACGCTCACTAAGCAGTCTGATCACTAAGCTGACCTCCCAGATTGTCTATTCTGGGAGGCAGTTAAATTACGTGGAAACAGTTTGATCCATTTGGGTCTTCCTTTTAACAAGTGGGACCTGAGCAGTGCTCAGACTAGGGTTAACTTTCCGCAATACAGAGGCAAACACCTTCTGGGCAACCCTCTCAATACCCTGTGCATTTCTTTTCTTTTTTTTATTTGCATTACAATTTTTTTTAAACATATTTATTGGAGTATAACTGCTTTAAAATGGGGTGTTAGTTTCTGCTTTATAACAAAGTGAAACAGCTATACGTATACATATATCCCCATATCCCCTCCCTCTTGCGTCTCCTTCCCACTCTCCCTATCCCACCCCTATAGGTGGTCACAAAGAACTGAGCTGATCTCCCTGGGTTATGTGGCTGCTTCCCACTAGCTATCTAGTTTACATTTGGTAGTATATATAAGTCCATGCAACTCTCTCACTTCATCCCAGCTTCCCCTTCCACTTCCCCGTGTCCTCAAGTCCATTCTCTACGTATGCATCTTGATCCCTGTCCTGCCCCTAGATTTTTCATAACCTTTGTTTTTTTTGAGATTCCATATATATGTATTAGCATACAGTATTTGTTCTTCTCTTTCTGACTTACTTCACTCTGTATGACAGACTCTATGACAGATCCATCCATCTCACTAGAAATAACTCAATTTCGTTTCTTTTTATGTCTGAATAATATTCCATTGTATATATGTGCCACATCTTCTTTATCCATTCATCTGTTGATGGACATTTACGTTGCTTCCATGTCCTGGCTATCGTAAATAGAGCTGAAATGAACATTGTGGTACATGACGCTTTTTGAATTATAGTTTTCTCAGAGTATATGCCCAGTAGTGGGATTGTTGGGTCATATGGTAGTCCTATTTTTAGTTTTTTAAGGACCCTCCATACTGTTCCCCATAATGGCTGTATCAATTTTCATTCCCACCAAGAGTGCAAGAGGGTTCCCTTTTCTCCACACCCTCTCCAGTATTTATTGTTTGTAGATCTTTTCATGACGGTCGTTCTGACTGGTGTGAGGTGATACCTCATTGTAGTTTTGATTTGCATTTCTCTAATGATTAATGATGTTGAGCATTCTTTCATGTGTTTGTTGGCAATCTGTATATCTTCTTTGGAGAAATGTGTATTTAGGTCTTCTGCCCATTTTTGGATTGGGTTGTTTGTATTTTTTTGGGGGGGGGATACG